TTACTGTTACTTGTTTATATGCCTGTGTAGAATAACATATTTCAGCCTTGTGCAGCTTGTCCACCATGTGCAGCTTGCCTGCCACGTGCGACTTGCCCTTGTGATTGTACACTTTACTCATGTGATTCCTCTTAACCCTTCGAGTATAAATTGTCTGATGCCCTGAATACAGTCGGCTGTTGCATGAGGTTAAAAAAAAAAAAAAAAGATATGGAGAAACAAGTATCCTTACTAACTACTGATGGGAATGCAAACTTGAGTAGCCACAGTGGAAATCAACATGGAAGACTCCATGCTGGGGGATAAAAAAACTAAAAATGGAACTACCATATGAACCATTCACGGAGGACTCTAAGTCAACATACCAGAGATATATTTGTATATCCATGTTTATTGCTGCTCTACTCATGGTAGCCAGGAAAGGGAATCAGCCAAGACATCCGTAAACAAGTGAATGGATTAAAAATAAAAATATAATACACACATAATGGAATTTCATGAAGCCATAATGAAAACAGAAGCGTAACATTTGCAGCAAAGTAAATGGAACTGGAAATCATGTTGACTACATCAGATTCAGAAAGAGAAATGTTTTCTCTCATATGTGGAATCTAAACTTAAAATTATACAATGAATGTATATATGAGTATTAAAATATTTGTGTGTAGGTCATAAAACTAGAGAATCATGAGGAGGAAACAATCTTAAGAGATGGTATATGCAGCAGAAGAAAGGATAAGGACACAGGAGAAGGAAGAGAGGCTGGGGATACAGCTAAGTTGGCAGTGTCTGCTTGGGATGCACAGTCCCAACACTATATAAAATCAGGCGTGGGGCACACTTCTGCAATCCCAACATTCAGAAGTTCAAAGTAATTCTTGGTTGTACATTGAGTTTGAAGCTAGCCTAGACCACGAGATCCTGTCTCAAAATAAAATTTTTTTTTAAAAAAAAGCAAACAAGAAGCAGCACAGGGCCATCTGAGGAAAGGAAGGGTGTCCACCAAAGGAGGGCAGGAGGACAGTGGGGAGGGGATGAATTAAAGAAGAATGACACGTATGTGGGGAAATGCCAGGCTAAAACCTAAAAGATGAATCTGAAAAGAAATCCTGACGAGTTCTCTCATTTTTTCCCCCTACCATGGAATGACATGACAAAATAAACCAGGATGTGGGCCCTCAGGAGACACTGACTCTGGGCTGTATGTGTCTGGAAATTCTGTGGGATTTTTCCACTGTCTTTATCAGTCATTATCCCTCTCCCAACTGAGATCACCCCGGTGTTATTCTGGACTCTAGGACCAACTATTTCAGTATTGCCTTTTAAGTACTAAGACTCCAACCAACTTAACCAATCCCCAGTCCATAGGACTACTGTAAAATGAATCAAAGATAAGTCTAGCTCCTTCCATATTTTCTAATGGTGTGTCTTTGGTCAGTGTCTTAGTTAGGGTTTCTATTGCTGTGAAGAGATACCATGACCACAGCAACTTATATAGGAAAAATATTTAATTGGGGTGGCTTACATTCTCAGAGGTGTAGTCTATTATCATCATGGTATGACATGGTGGCATGCAGGCAGACAAGGTGCTTGAGAAGGAGCTCAGAGTCCTACATTTTGACCGGCAGGCAGCAGGAAGTGGTTTGAGACACTAGGCGTGCCTCAAAGTCTGCCTCCACAGTAACGTACTTCCTCCAACAAAGCCATACCTACGATGACAAAAGCCACATCTCCTAATAGTGCCATTCCCAATTACATTCAAACTACCACAGTCAGTTTTGGTGAACATTCTTACTCATTTCCTAGCCCTCTACACTCAAACACACAACAGAGTTCCATACTCACAATTCTTTATATATCTCCAAGTAAGCCTAAATTGACCTATCACATCTTCCCTCAAGGAAAAAATATCAGCCATTATAAAGGTCCATCAACTTCCATCTACTGAGCTTTCCTCTGTTCCTACTGCCTAAAACTAACCTTATTCTGTATAGCACTAAATCCTTCTAGAATAGTGAAACGTTCTTACTCTGTTAGCTCCTTTTCTCCTGCTTTCCTGAATATCAAAACCCATACTTAAAGTCAAATGGAAGTATACACTGTGTTTAAATAATGTCTACCAAGTGATGGCCATCAAGTAAGAAGCACTAATAAAATGTTTGGTGATAAGGACCTGAAGTCATGTTGGAGATGTCCTTGCTAGTTTTATGTAAACGTGACACAAGCTAGAGATATCTTAGAGGAGGGAACCACCATAAGATCAGGCTGCAGGCAAACCTGTAGAGCATTTTCTTAATTGGTATAGATGGGAGGGGGCCAGTCCATTGTGGGTGATGCTGTCCCTAGGCTGGTGGTCCCAGGGTCTGTAAGAAAGCAGGCTGAGCAAACCAATGAGGAGCATCCCTCCATGGCCCTTGCATCAGCTTCTGTCTGCCTCCAGGTTCCTGCCCTGCTTGAGTTCCTATCTTGATTTCCTTTGATGATAAACTATGATGTGGAAATATAAGCCTAATAAACTCTTTCATCCCCAAGTTGCTTTGGTCATGGTGTTTCATAGCAGCAACAGTAACCCTACGACAAAAGGGGTCATCAGAAAAACACAATTTTCCTTATTTCTCTGTTATGGTCTTTAGAATCTCCCCTCACTTTATTCTATTTGAATGTACTTATATTTTACTATAGTATACACATCTCAAGTGAGCATCATTAGTCTTTGGAAATATCTCTCTAGCTATTATTTAGGTTGACGGTGTCTTGTCCAAAACTCTATGAACAGGAAGTTGAAGAGCTGAAGCTGATATTAAAGATTTGTGATGAGGGTATTTCTCCATGTTTCTTCACACATAGTATACTCACAAGTTCATCATATATTTACCAGTTATGGCGGTTACTCTAAAGAGCATGAATTGGAGACATCATTCCTCATCTTATAATGTTTACACTAAGGAATCAAAAGTATAGACACAGCCGGGCAGAATGATGCACACCTTTTATACCAGCACTCAGGAGGCAGAGGCAGGCAGATCCCTGTGAGTCTGAGGCCAGCCTAATCTACAAACAGAGTTTCAGGACAGCCAGGGCTGTTACACAAAGAAACCCTGTCTCAAAAAACAGAAGGGGTGGGGTGGGGGGAAGAAAGAAAAAAAGAAAAGAATTAAACTTGCCTATATTATGGAAGGTGTAAAAGAGCATGAAGTATGAACACAAAGCAAGATCATGAGAGACCACCTGAGTGCTGTGTACACTGGGCAAATCACTTGATCTCCTGCTAGGAGTCACTTTCATCATCCACAAAACAAGACAACAGTACCTTCTTCAAAGGACTAATGAAAGAACTGACTGAAGCTTGATGTGGTGGTTCACATTTGTAATCCCAACAATGGGGAGGTAGGGTAGGATGATCACTGCAGGTTTGAGACCAGCCTCATCTACATAATAAGTTCCAAATCAGCCAGAGCGATATACTGAGCCCTGCTCCCTTCCCACCCACCCCCAAAAATTAAATTTTAAATGTAAGCCAGGTGTGGTGGCACTTGATGGTGGGGGCTGGATGGTGAGGCTCAAGGTCACCTTCACTTACGCAGTGAATTCGGGGCCAGCCTGTGCTACATGAGAGCCTGTTTCACCTGCTGCTGCAAAAATCTACTACTCTGTAGTAAGCCGCCCCATGGAAATAACAAACTGAACTCATCAACCACCTCTTCAGCGAACTGGAGAAGACCCTGTGGGAAACCTGGAGCTACACGCACAGGTTAAGCTACACTCAGATTCCTGGCATTTGGTCAATACTTGTTAAAAGCTGCTTCAGTTTTGAAGCAATTTTTACACAGCAATAAGTAACACAACTACTGAAAAGAAAAACTATTGAAAAATAAGAGAATTGAAGAGGGCAGAAATAAAAAGTCAAAAGAACTAGATTACTAAAAATAAGGAAAAATTGTTAGGTCCTAGTAAACTGAAAGAAAGATGATTTCATAACATAGTGTAGCCTGTTATACAGTGGTGGCAGTTAAAACCAATGTCCAAGACTACCCAGGGCACACTCTTCAAGTTGAGAAAAAGCACAATGTCAAAATTCGGAGCAGGGCAGTAAGGAAAAGTAAATGAACAGCTATGAAAGTGAATCAGGACACTGATGACAAGGATATCAACTGCTGCAATCATTAAATGATTTATGGTAGAGTTAGCAATGTTCTAATTCCTTTTTTTTTTAACATTTTAATCTTTCCGAAATTAAATCAGTTTTTAAGCCATAAGTTCTTATGTGCTTCTGCTCCCTAAATCAGCTACAAAGTTGGCAGTGTGGTCTATCGGGTCTGTTTGAGAAATAAAGAATGGCAGTGATAAGGTAGTTGAAGCATTTATGTGGGATATTGTTTTCAGCATGTTTTCATTTAAAGAGCAGATCAAGAAGTGAAGCACTGTTTGCTGTTTTAAATTTTGAGTATTACGAAACAAACATCTGTAAGTGAGGAATTTTGAAAAGGCAAACTATGACTAAAGAGGAACACAATGAGGAAGCAATGAAGGGAGGTATGTTCGCTTAAATGTCATCCATGTAACAGTTCCTACATGCCCTGCCTACAGTGTGGAGATCGCTGAACACACCTGAGAAGCAACTCCTCGAAGAAAGTTTGGGCGGGAAAGCAAAGTGTAAGGAACGCTATCTAGGAAAAATGAGAAGGAACACTCCAATATCCACTGCTGTCTTGGTAGGTTGAGCAACAGAATAAAAACGGAGACAAATAAATCGCCAGACTGCAGCTACCACGCTCATTCCGAATCAAATTCCCAGCATTGCTTTCCTTCCTCCCGGTCTGCACTCGCGCGCTCGGTTCCCAGCACCATTCAGCGCAGACCTGGGCAGGACAGGGCGAGGACGCCCTGCTCACCCGACCGCCACAACCCGCGCGTGCCCATCCGACCGGGCCGGGGCCACCCCGAGAGGCCCACGGAGCCACGCGCCCGCACGCGGCTTCCATAGCAACAGCACGGCATACCTTGGACGCGCCAGCGCGGCCGCTTCCGGACATCTCCCACACGCACGGCCCTCCCCTCGCACTCGCCGCCCCTTCCGGAATCCATCCCCCCCGGAAGCCGCGCCTCGCGCGCTCCGCCCCTCCCGGAAGCCACGGGCGGGTTTTCTTCGTGCTTGCACGGCGAAGGCGCTGCTGTTCTAGGCAGTTCCTTGGGGAGCCTGGAAAGCGCTCCGTGGGACACCAGCTCCCTTGGCTGGGCAAGACCTAGAGCAGTCACCAGGACCAAGAGGTTATATTTCAAACTGTGTTTTGTGGAGCAAGAATGGACCATAAAATAAAAACCCCAAGTAGACAAGAATTCAATAATTATTGTTAATTAGTAATAAGATAGCCAGATAAAGCACTTCCTTATGCAATGAGGAAGAATTCACAAGTACCAAGAACAAGGATTACCAATTTTTAAAAAGACTTCAGGAACCCTAGCTGGATTTGTTATAAAGTTGATTTCACGTACTATCTGAGGTGAAGTCAGAGAACTTATATTCTTGTTTATGGATGCTGGTTCAGGAATTACTTTAATTTGGAAGAAGCAGTCATTCCGTAGATATTTTAAAGTACTTGAACACACTTGTGGCTGGGTGCTTTGAGAATATTTCAGACTAACAGGAAGGAGAGCTGGTACTTGAGAAAACTGGATTACAGAAGAGCCTGTAAAGATTTCTATTATAGAAAAAAATAATAATTCATTGTTGAGAATGCGTTGTCATGAGACTTGAATAGAAACTGTCTTAACAGGCGAAGACACTAAAGATACACATTGAAGAAAAATACTAAATAATTTACATTGTTGAAAAAAAGGTATTGGCCTGGATAAAGGAAAGGATTCTCAGAAAGTTGTGTTCACAAATGTGTACAGAAGTAGAGCTTAGAGCCAAGGATAGTGACTCAAGTCTATAATCCAAAGACAAGCAGAGTGGGAAACAAGACCCTCACTCTGCAGTGAATTAAAAATACTACTGAAAGTGAAGCAGTTTTTAATATACCCTTCTACAAAATGGGACTCCAGCATAGTGGGGAAAAAGCCAAAATGCTGGCATACTGACTTGGCTGGCGCAAGACAGGATTTTTTCTTCTGTTTTGTTTTTTTGAGACAGGGTCTCTCTACATAGCCCTGGCTGTCCTAGAGCTCTGTAGACGAGGTTGGCCTCAAATTCACAGAGATCCTTCTGCTGCCTCCCTGGTGCACTAACACACCTGGCAAGAAAATTTCTTTTAAAGTCCATAGTTGCAAGAAGTTCCTGTCCTCCTTTTCCCATAGGCTGATACTTTAGAGAATTACAATCTTCAAATATTTCTAACATGGCACCTTCTCCAAATTCCCCATCCTACTGGTTCAGGATGCAATGCCTTATTTAATGACTACTCCCGGGGTTTGAAAGTGTGGGCCCAGTGACACAGCCTACAGCCTTCCAACCCTGGAGATCTGAGATAAGCAGACACCACCTGCCAGCTGGGGAAGAAGGGCCTAGCACTTCCTGGTTGCCGTAACCCTTTGCCTAGCTCTAAGTGCACCTCATATTTAAAAATTACTACAAGGATTTATTTCTAACAGGAGGACCAAGAATTCAAGGTCAGCAATGGAGAGTTCAAGGCTATCCTGGGCTACATGAAAATAAAAACTAGGTTTAGTCTCTTCTTCAAATGCACTTTTTTGTCTTTCTAGAAATATGTAGGTTTGTATTGACACAATGCTAGATTGTCTTCCTCTTGCTGTAGATTTGCTCTCCATCTGTAGCCTTGATATAATGCTAGACTGGCACCTCCTCTTATAAATCTCTTCTTCGCTGAGTGTTTCTGCTCAAAGTTTTGTAAACACAGATTTGAGTCTTAAGGGAACCTGCAGGAGTTACAAGAACATGTGCTGAAATATACCAGTTCTGTGTCACACTGCAAAGAACTGGACCACAGGTATGTGGTTAGAAATACAAATATAGAAAAAAAATACAAAAATAAAAATACAAATAGTCTATTTAAAAACTGGAAGCACTCCCAAGAATGGGAGTGAGCTAGTGAGTTTAAAAAAACAAACAAATAAAATGTGCTCCAAAAATATTGGGCTTGGAGCCTCATGACTCTTTATTGGTCATCTACATAGTACCCTCCCCTCCAATATTCATATAGTTTGGGCTTCCTTAAGCATACTCAATTTGTTGTATGAAACCAGGTGAGGGATGATTTCTTGCCTTTCTCTGCCTATTGATTTATTTTGATATGTTAATATTGTTACAGTTTTCTCTAGTCTGTAATCTCATGCCATAATTCCCTCCTAAAGTTGTGATCCAAAAAATCTTTTTGGGGAGCACAATCATAATCAATCAGTCTTCTATAACCAATCCCATGCTAATGAGAGGCACAGTCCCTGCCTAAGGATGACCACAAAGCTCCCTACTTTATCTGTTGGACAGAAAAGAGGATTTGTATTTTCTGTAGAAGGAAATAGTTGGAATCAGAAAGAGTTTAGTTTGAAATAGTTGCATATCCTAGGAGACACAAACTTGACAAGATTAAAATGCAAGGTTAAAAAAGAATAACATGATTATGTCAACTGATAATACAATAAAGGAAGAGCTCAAGGAAAACCATGGCTGTGTTAATTTCAGAATAGTTATTCTTTATACCTTGTTCTCAGGGCAGTGGTCATTTAAAAAATAATGCTGATGACTATATATTAAGAATATGGCAAGTGGTGCTGGAGAGATGACTTGGAGGTTAAACAGAATTGTTGCTCTTACAGAAGACTCAGCTTTGGTTGCCAGCACCCACATCAAGCATTATAGCCATCTGTAACTTCAGTTCCATAGGATCCACTGCCCTCATCTGGACCCTGTGGTATATATATATATATATATATATATATATATATATATATATATGTCTGCTTATATGTGGTACACAGACACACAAGTAGGAAAAATAATCATAAATATAGAATAAAAATAAATCTTTCAAAATAATTTCATGAGATAGAAAAGAACAACTTTAAGGAAAAAATATAATGGTAGGATGCATTAAAAGGAAGAGAGTGTAAAGCTGTAGCCATTGAATACCAACAGATAATTTTAAATAAATCTATGTGATTACAATTACATACATAGAGCTTGGAAATAGACTTTCTTACATTCTTCCCCTTGGGTTTTTGTTTATTCTTCTGAGAGAAATGCCTCCCTCCACTTGCCTAAGGAACACCATGGGCAAGATGTTTCCTTTCCCTAGCTTACCATATTTAAAGACATTATGCATGCAGCCCCTATCTGGCCATGAGATGTGTGAGTGAATCTGGTGAAAGTGATAAGAAGTCTGTATTTTTATCATTGCTTCTCTGTCCCTGCATTGAACCCTGAGCTATATTGGGATGAAACTTTCAGAGAAAACCAATAAAGAGATGAACACAACTCCCCTGGAGTCAATTCCTCTGCACTGTTCACAGGTGGGTCATGGCAGAGCTTGTATCATAGCTGGAGTTGTTGTCATTGCCCATACATAGGGTTTAATGGGGATATGAAATCTGAATTATTTTTGTCTCTTTTTAGAGTCTAGATTTTTATTTCTTTGCTTTGTCTTACTGTTTAAAATTTTTCAGCTAGGTGTTGAAGATCATGCTGGTAACCAAAACTAATCATTTCTCTTTTTAAAAACAGTAGAGGTTTTAGGGAGTTAGTTTTGGGGACTTAGGAGAAACCCCTGACTCCTTTAGTCTTCTTACCAGCTGCACCATCACTAGGTTGAATCAAAGTCTTGTCAGCCATACGCTTCCCTTGGAGGCACTGCGGACCTTTCTTCTGTGTCAGCCTTCCTATTTGCACAATACATGCTGGCTAGAGTCCAACCCCTGAGGTATCCATGGCCTCTCTGATCAAGAAGATGAGTAAATCATCAAAGTTGTAGAATGCTTTGAGAGATGCTCCATCATTCTCTGTGACAAAACCTAGGAACAAGGATCAAAATATTGGCTTTCCTTTTAGCTTTTGTACCTTCATAGGCTTTAGTCTCTGATTGTGGTTGTTGAACACCAAGAAGGTCAGTTATAACAGTATTGAAGAGTAAATTGTTTGGTTTTGTTTTTGCTTTTTTCAAGACAGGATTTCTCTGTAGCTTTGTGCCTGTCCTGGACTAGCTCTGTAGACCAGGCTGGCCTCGAACTCACAGAAATCCACCTGGCCTCTGCCTCCCAAGTGTTGGGATTAAAGGCGTGTGCCACCACCGCCCGGCTGAAGAGTAAATTGTGCTTTAAAATCTAGCTGTAATATAAAGCTTAGACATATTAACATGGATAATTTTTAAACTTCTAATAAGTCCTAAAAGACTAATTTTTTTAATTAGAAGTCTGGCACAGAAACAATAAGCAACTGTCATAATAAAAAAAATATTTACTTTTAAAAGCACATTGTTTTAGTTTGAATGAAATGTCCTGCAAAGTCTCAGTCATTTGAATACTTGGGCCCCAGTTGGTGGTACTGCTTATGAGCTTTAGGTGATGTGGCCTTGTTGATAGAGTTATGTCCCACTGGGGACATGCCATTTGAGTCACTCTTTCTATGCTCTGCTTATGATTCAAAACATGAGTTCTTGAACTCTCATCAGAGAAGCTTGTTTGGTAATTAACACAGAGGCCCACACTGAATAATATGCAGAAAGTGAGAGACTTTGGAGCACTCAAGCCTAAACAGAATGCTTTTATTAAACCCATCCCCTCACGGCTCCTGAATGTAGGTAGAAGAAGAAGCAGAAAGATTTTAAGAGCCAGAAGTAGTGGATGTCCCCAAGGAAACAGGACCGGAGCATATATGAATACAGAATCTTTAACATTACGTACAATACCTGTACAAGTGCAAGTCAGACAAAATCCCAGCAGAGAGAAGGAAAAGTAGGAACAAAATTCCACCTCTAATAAGACATTTTTGTAATTGGTACCTACTGGGAGAGTGAAAATTAGTTTTTGAGTGATACTGAGTAGATCAACCACACTCCAGGTAAGGCCCCATGCCTCAGAGTAGTTGACCAACACAAAAACACACTATATTTTTGGTATGCTTTTTTGTATGT